TGTGGTGAGCCGAGATCATGCCACTGCATTCCAGCCTGGGCAACAAGAGCAAAACTCCATTTCAAAAAAAAAAAAAATTTGTCTAGTGTTTTTGAATTATGTTCAGGTTATAGAATTTTAAAAGATACAAAAAGGTATTCCTTCCCACCCTGTCCTCCACAGAGGTGAAAGCTATCATTTGCTTCTAGTGTCTGCTTCCTGGGATATTCTGTATATGTAGAGTTATTTTTCTTCTTGTAATTCATAAGCACTGAGCACTTACTATTTGCCAGGGACTGTTCTACACATTTTACAACCACCCAAAGTTAGGTTTATGCCCATAATCCTAGTGCTTTGGGAGGCCAAGGCAGGCGGATCACCTGAGGCCAGGAGTTTGAGACCAGCCAGGCCAACATAGCAAAACCCTATCTCTATTAAAAATACAAAAACTTAGCCGGGCGTGGTGGCAGGTGCCTGTAGTCCCAGCTACTCGGGAGGCTGAGGCAGGAGAATCGCTTGAACCCAGGAGGCGGAGGCTATAGTGAGTCAAGATCACGCCACTGCACTCCAGCCTGAGCAACAAGAGAAAATCTCCATCTCAAAAATAAAAAAATTTAAAAAATTAAATTAGCGGGGCATAGTGGTGTGCACCTTTAGACCCAGCTACTTGGGAAACTGAGGTGGGAAGATCACTTGAGCCCAGGAGTTCAGGCCTACAGTGAACTATGATCGTGCCACCATACTCCAGCATGGATGACAGAGAGGGAGACCCCATCTCTATAAAAGAAAAAAAAAGCCGGGCGCGGTGGCTCAAGTCTGTAATCCCAGCACTTTGGGAGACCGAGACGGGTGGATCACAAGGTCAGGAGATCGAGACCATCCTGGCTAACACGGCGAAACCCCGTCTCTACTAAAAAAAATACAAAAAAATTAGCCGGGCGAGGTGGCGGGCGCCTGTAGTCCCAGCTACTTGGGAGGCTGTGGCAGGAGAATGGCGGGAACCCGGGAGGCGGAGCTTGCAGTGAGCCGAGATCGCGCCACTGTACTCCAGCCTGGGCGACAGAGCGAGACTCTGTCTCAAAAAAAAATAAATAAATAAATAAAAAATTGGAATTAAGTGCTATTATCATCCCTATTGTGCATCTGAAAAAACTGAGGCACACAGGTACAGTGACTTGGCCGAGGTCACACAGCTTGTGACAGAGTCAGGATTTTGATACATGTGGGCTGGCTCCAGGGTGGTTCCCTCAGGGTGAGCATCCTAAAGGTTGGTGGCTATTGCCAAATGGGACAGAGGGACAAGGGGACAGGTTGGAGGACCATGTACCAGATCCAGGAGAGGTGTCCTAAATTCGCTGATATCCCCCTTTCTGTTTCTCTGTCTCCAGTTCCTCTGTAGGGGATTGGGGGTTATAAGATTACATCCCTACTTTCCCTTGCAGGTTCCTTTGCCCAAAGACTCAACAGGTGCAGCAGATCCCCCCCAGCCCCACATCGTAGGTAAGTCCGCAAGCATAGGGGCGGCCAGGTCTCTAACCTGACCCAGGCCCTGCTGGACCTAAGCTGGGCTCCCTGAGCCTTTGGGCAGAGTCCCTCACAGGGCACAGGGCATGTATATCTCCACACCAGGAATCCAGAGTCCGGATCAGCAGGCTGCCCTGGCCCGCCACAACCCTGCCCGGCCCATCTTTGTCGAGGGCCCCTTCTCCCTGTGGCTCCGAAACAAGTGTGTGTATTACCACATCCTCAGAGCTGACTTGCTGCCCCCGGAGGAGAGGGTGAGGGCTTAAAGCAAAGCACGTGTCGGGCCTGGGGAGTGGGGCTGGCACCACCCTGAGGGTGCATGGGAGAGGCTGGGGGAGGGAGTCTGGGAGAGCCCTGGCCTCTGACCCTCCTGCCTGCACTCCCCTCTTTGGAGTAGGAAGTGGAAGAGACCCCGGAGGAGTGGAACCTCTATTACCCGATGCAGCTGGACCTGGAGTATTCGAGGAGTGGCTGGGACGACTACGAGTTTGACATCAATGAAGGTAGAAACTGGGCCTGGTGCGGTGGGTGTGCCTGTAATCTCAGCCCTCCGACAGGCTGAGGTGGGAGGATCACTTGAGCCTGGGAGCTGAGGTTGCAGTGAATTATGATTGAGCCACTGCACTCTGGCCTGCGTGATAGACCCTGTCTCTTAAAAAAAAAAAAAAAAAAAAAAAGGCAATAACCTGGACAGGCAGGACTTCCAAACATTCCAAACACCACCCAGGATGAGGGGCGGCCTCTGGGGTCAAGGAGTAGGCCCAGGCTGAGATGCAGTCCACTTACCCCCTCATCCTCCCGCCACTCTCCCATCCACACACTCTCATTTGCCTCAGGGGCTCCAGACCTCAGGCCACTCAGCCCTGTCAGCCCTTGGTCATTCCCTCCCTCCACACCTCTGTGCTGGCTACTGGGTGTCACCAGGACAAACCTAGTCCCTTGAGTCAGTAAGGGAACAGGCAAATTACACTTTGGGGAGCTTAGGAGAGGAGCGTGCCTTGAGTGGGAGGTCAGGAGGGCTTCCTAGCAGAATCTAGAAGACCCAGGAGGCATCGCTTGGGTGAAGTGTGGAGTGGGCAGCCTAGGCAGCAGGGCTAGCTTGTGCAAAGGTTTGGAGGCACAAGAAAGTGGAAGGAAGCCGGGTGCAGTGGCTCAGGCCTGTAATCCCAGCACTTTGGGAGGCTGAGACGGGTGGATCATTTGAGGTCAGGAATTTGAGACCAGTCTGGCCAACATAGTGAAACCTCATCTCTACTAAAAATTTAAAAATTAGCCGGGCGTGGTGCTGTGCGCCTGTAGTCCCAGCTCCTCTGGAGGCCAAGGCAGGAGAATCACTTGAACCTGGGAGGCGGAAGTTGCAGTGAGCCGAGATCTCGCCACTGCACTCCGGCCTGGGCGACACAGCGAGACTCCATCTCAAACAAAAAAGAAAGTGGAAGGGAGTGTAAAATACCTCAAAAAGGTGTAGGCATGGGTTAGCCGCTGCAGCCCCCACTGTGCAAACCCTGAGGGTGTATCTCTTCCAACAGTGGAGGAAGGCCCTGTCTTCGCCATGTGCATGGCGGGTGCCCATGACCAGGCGACGCTGGCCAAGTGGATCCAGGGCCTGCAGGAGACCAATCCAACTCTGGCCCAGATCCCCGTGGTCTTCCGCCTGACCCGGGCCACCGGGGAGCTCCACACATCCTCTGCAGGGCTGGAGGAACCGCCCCCGCCCGAGGACCACGAGGAAGACGACAGCCTGCAGCGACAGCAGCAGGGCCAGAGCTGAGTCTGAGCGGGCTGAGGGCACAGGCTGTGGCCCGAGGCGGCGGTGGACTGAAGGCATGAGATGCCCTTTGAGTGTACAGCAAATAAATGTTTTCCTGCTTGGGGCTGCCTTCCCTCCTCTCTGGTAGTGTAGCATTCCCTCCCCAGGATCTCAGGCTGCCAGCGATGGGCAGGCGAGACCCCTTCAGGGTCTGCAGGCTCTTCTGGTTCTCCCGCTTCAAGCGAAGTTAGAAAGTTTAATCAAAAAGGGGTGGGGGGGCGCTGTCGGTTGTGCACATGCGCAGTTTCCGTTCTTAGTCTCCTTTTGGCGCCCCAGGGCAGCGAGACCGTGAGAAATTTCTCGGCGGCGCTGAAGATGCGCGCCACTTCCGGTCCGGCTCCTAACAACGGGGGAGGCTGGTAACCAAGGTGGGGGGGATGGCGGAGCGGGCGCCGGAGCCCGA